TTGTACAAACAAAATAAATATATTGAAAAATATAAAAACAATAAAAAATTATACTTCAGATGTTAATTTAGTATCAAAAACGTAAAATATTTGAGTAGCCCAAGAAATAGCCGAAGATTGCAGCGCCACAGCACTAGCAAAAATTTAAATTTGCCGACTGGAATGCTTTCAGATAACGGACATTTCGGATAACCAGCTTTCGGATAAACGATGCTCTACTGTAATATATTCTAATAATACTAATGTATTATAAAAATAGCACATTGTCATTGGCAATGGCAAAAGAGTGGAAACATCATTTGTACTTATTCGCAGAAAGTCTGTTGTTCACAGCCAGTTCGTTGCTTGAGTCACGTAACGGCCAAACAGAAAGTCCATTGTTCGCAGCGTCTGTTATTCGAGGCGTACATTATACGAGGCACCACTGTATTAAAATTTATCTATATTCACAATCTTTTCATTATATTTGATGTTAAGTCTGTTGTCGTTCTCACCCTACACAATCTTTGTCTTATTTATTTTTAGCCCATATCTAATAGAAACTTCTTCAATCCTACTTCAAATTATTACATTACTATATACAGTAAATATTAAAATAATGTTAAGATTATTTACAAAAATTTAAAAAAAAATTAAAATTACATATATAAGACAATCTTACCGTTTCAGAATTCTGTTCTTCAGATTTTCTTCTAAATTTTTTGATAATTATATTTAATATCACATATTTTTCAGTAACCTGATAAAGCCTATGAAATCCTTTACTCAGCTTAGAATTAGAATTTTGTTCCTGTAAAAAAAGAAAAAATCACATATATCCAATTTAAAAATAAATTAAAATTACAATTAATAAGTATAAATTAACAAAAATATTATAATAGAGAGGTTGTGGCTAACATTTTCTTTGCAATAATGTGAACGTCGGACATTCAGCAGCCGCCTTGTAAGCACAGAAGTTTGACAATGATGTTTGGAACGTCGAGCATGATTCCTCTGATGTTCCAAACATCATTGTCAAACTTCTAGGCTTATCGGAAGGCGGCACTGAACATCCAACATTCACGTTTTCATGATGAAACCATCAGCTGCAACCTCTCTATTATAAAACTTAATACCAAATATTTAACAAAATGAAATAAATGACAAAATAAAATAAGAATAACAGTAAAGTAATAATGTAGAAGTGTCTTAATAAAGGAAGTCAAGTTAGAGTTCATACAGAGACCTCCATGTGGTAGATTGTGAGTCCACATCCCTGTAATTAATGCAGATGGAAGTTCTATTTGCTTTATATATTTCTAAGATCTCTAAGTGCCTAAGTGTGTTTGAGGTCCTTAGCTGGTCTGATGATTGTAATGTGACTTATACACTAGGTACAGGTCACACTACAGGTACAGTACCTTTCTAAATCAGTTGACTATGTGTCATTCTTTTTTTGTATTTTATCTGTGAAATATGAGATATTAACTTTGATTAATTCAAAGTTTTAATTTTAAAAAAATTCAAAGGAACTAATTTCATTAAATTTTTTAACATTAATTTAAGTAAGAATTTTTTGAGGAATAATAGTAAGCTCAAATTATCCAGTGATTTGAATTAATCAAATTAGACTGTATATCCTAATTTACTAAATATAAATGTATATACATATATATTTTAATTAATAATTTTTTAATACAGATATGAATGGAATAGGAAGAATAGACAATGTTACATATCAAAGTAGTGATCTCCCAGTTACAGCAGGGAGTAATCCTGAAACTATAATTGTAAAGGATACATCTGATAACAGTACTTTTGGAAATGGAACAATTGTTGAGATACCACCAATATTTCTACAAACAAATGCTGCACAAACAATCTCAGGTGCTTTTGTTTGGGCAGCATTAATTATAACATGCCATCAGGTAAAAGTTTATTTTGAATATATGTTAAGATAATTTATATGTTATAAATTAATTTTTTTGAAATTATTAGTAACATAAATGGATTTTTTGCAAAACTTTAAAGCTGAAAAAATTGAGTTAAGAATAGTTTTATCTTTTTATGTAAAAGTGAAAAATAGTATCTGTATGGCAATGATTTTTAAATTAATAATACTAATAATAACAATTTTAAACTTTCAATAAATAACAAAACATTAAGTTACCTTTTCTGGAATTTTAAGCATATTTTGTGTTTTGGTGTTAATTAATTAATAAAATATTATAGTACAAATAAAATTCTTTAATAATAATAATTCAAATGTTTTCAATCAAATTCAATTTGTCATCAGGAAAAACTAAAAAGAACAAAGAATCTTGCATACAGAAGAACATTATGATTAGCTGTAAACAATAGAGATCCTAGATCCATTTTTAAGAAATCAGGTATATACACAATGAATTTAAAAGCTGTGTAAGACTTCCACGTCATAGGAAAGGAGTCAATATCACAAAAGTTTATGGCTGTGGTATTGCAGGTGGCCTTGTATATTTCCAGATGTTTGTTATATACTTGTTCCAGATGCTTAAGGAAAGGTTGCTTAGATGCATTATGTAATAGGTGTGCCTTGTGGAATTCAACTTGCATGTCTGGGTCAGAGGCATAGATAGCCAAAGTCGTGTTGGCCAAATTTTTTAAGATAGATATCTGATGCTCTTTGAGGTGGTATTTAAAGGGTGAGCTATAGCTCCTACATATTGTAAGTGTTGGTATGATCTATGATTGTTGACAAGGATACTGTAGATGCCTGGTTGCTGTCAAGGATACTGTAGATACTGGTGCTTGTCAAGCCAGTCTTTAGTGTTATGGAGGAGGGAGGAAATTGAGGGACTTCTATAAAAAGCTAATTGAAAGTTATTACTCCTGGACATTTCTTTGTACAGGGTGGCAAGCTTCTTGTTGTAAGTGACTGTTCTGTACTTTGTATCTTGGGAGTGATTTACCTGCAGGGTAGAAGTGGTGTTGGAAAGCCAACATATAAGGCCCTGAATAGTGAGTGGAAAGTAGCCATGCTGGGTGGCATAACAGGTGATTGTAAGGAGCTCTTTCTCCCTATCCTATGTGTCAGACGAATAGGAGAATGCCCTCACTTCTATGTTGTTTCTTTATTTAAATTTTAAACTCAGACTTATCAAAATGATTAAAATTTAAATTTTTATGAAATTGAATTTAATTTCTCAAACTAAAATTGACTAAATCTGCATTCTAATGACATGCAAATTTTAGCCAATTTTGTTTTAATATTTATTTTAACAGTATTTTGTTTTTAAATTTAATTCTTTATTAATTATAAACTTATTTAAATTTTTGTTTTGATGATGGTTATTTAAGAATAGCTGACAATTTCTAGTTTGTATTAAAAAAATACTTTAAATATTTTACTGAATACAAAATTAATGTAATAGTCATATTGGCCTCCTACAGTAGATGGGTATTTTTAAGCAGAGGTTTTAGTTAAAAAATAAATGGTGCAGTTGACAGAGGACATTGTTATCAGAAAAGTAGAAAAAAAATTATATATATATTTTCTTTTTGAGATATCTACTTTTCTGGTAGCATAGTGTCCTCTTTAGCAGCATAATATATATATATATATATATATTGTTGCTCTAAGGTGTCAAAGTTTAACCCTTGATGACTCGTAGGACACCACAATGTTTGAGCTGTTTAAGTGTCATCTGCCTATTTTTTCAATAATAATAATTATTATTATTATTATTAATTTGCTTTGAGAAATATTTTAAATTATAATGTTTTCTTTTGTCTTACCATCCATTATTTTTTATTTATTTTTTTTAAACATTAAAAACTAAAATTGTTATAGATTGTGATGAGGTGTGGGCAGCATTTATTTATTTTAGTTAAACTAGGAAAAGTCTGATTGAGACAAAAGATTTCCACCACTCTGCATAATAATAAAAATAAATAACAAATAAATAAATGAGCTAAAAAATATGTAATGGAAAAACATTAAAATATATTAGAACATAGTAAAGCAATTTTGAAAAAGAAAATAAAAAAAAAATTTATAAAGAATACATTTACAAGTATTTTTAAAATGAGTATAGTTTTCATAAAGTATGTTTTCGAGGTTAATCATATTTTGTGAAATAAGATAAAAAAATTATCTTTGAGAAATGGATAATCTAAAAAAAATTTGTAAAAATGCATGTAGGGTTATGCATGTTTCACTGTGTTGGTTTTAGTTGAAGCCTGTCATATAATGCCTATATAAGCATTAAAATATTTAAAATATAAAAGCCAATTGAAATATTTAATGCGTTCTGTAAAAGAAAAGAGTCTCAGTCTGGACCTTACAACGTTCGGATGATAAGTAATAGACAAATGGCAGAGTTTATTTAAAATGAGATAAATTTTGTCAAGTTCTTTAGAGAATTTTCTAAAAGGGAAGCATTGTTGGAAAAAGGGATATGGAGAGCATTGTAAAGCCTCACTTTACAATGCTTTCCACATCTTCAACACAATCTATAACAGCTGAAGTAAAATGCCAAAGTTGCACTGCAGTCAGTAACAGTTTTTATAGTCTGTGTAGCAAAGGAGTATACATGAGTTAGCCTGAGCTGAAAGGGTGTATGTTAGATGGAAGGAAACATGTGGGAGGTGAGACGTGAATCTTACCTTTTACAGTTTTGTTTTTTGCATTTTCAAAACATTTTTGTACTATATTTGTCATAATGTTATTGTTCTACTTTTTTTTTGCAACTTTTATTACTGTGATCCATGTATCAACTTTTACATGTCTCCTTCCATTCCTTTCATCTAACGTAGACCCTTCCAGCTCAGGCTGACTTGTGTCTACTCTTTTGCTGTGCAGACTATAATATTTTTTATTTTATAAATGTAATTCTTGATATTTTGGTATTATACAGTACATATGATAGAATATTATATAAATATTATAAATAATGAGCTTTTGTAATAATTTTTCAGTAAATAAGTGAATTCTTAAAATCTAAAAATTAAATGCTTTTTTTGAGCATTTAANTTTTTTTTTTTTTTTTTTTTTTTTTTTTTTTTTTTTTTTTTTTTTTTTTTTTTTTTTTTTTTTTTTTTTTGAGGAGGTTTTTTATACTTTGTTGTTTTGCTGAATCTGTATAGCAGATTTGGTTTCAACAAACCAAGATACACACTGGCATCTCATGGGGAAGCTATTTCATGGAAAAACACTTCTTAATTTACTAGGAATATTTGAAATGCAAAAATCTTTAATCAGTTTAAGTGACCTTGACAGTCACTTAAACTGATTTTGTTTTTTGTAGAATATTTATCATAAAGATTGTGCTCTCTGTAATTTTTTAAAGTTTGTAAGAGTTTATGGACATCTTGTATATAGAATGTATGTTAGAAAATTATAAGATATGTTTAAATCTATTTGAAATTTCTGACGTTTTTATAGACTAATATTTTAATATTTTTATTTAAAAGAAAGTCACATGACATCATATGATGTAATGTTTGCCTTTTCAGTATTTATTTATTTATTTTTTAATTCACCATCACATTTCAAAGAATTTTTGTTGCTAAGCTATGGCAGTATAGTGATACACATTTGAGATTCAGCATATTGACTCCATTTTTATGCTAGGATAGTATCCAATATTATTTCACAGTTTTTGGGCTGCAATTTGAAAAAATTGTATATCTATAAAATTCGCACTGTTGTCCATCTGTCTGTGTTTCCTTAATCTTGAGAATGGTGTTAGATAGATGAAATTCAAGACCAGATATGGAAATCTTAGGGACGGGAGCTCTCAATTAACCATACATTAACTTTTGATGTAAACCGGAAGACATGTTATTTCAATTCAAAAATTTTTCTGAGTTAGATGACTAGCACAACGCCATTGCTAACAGAAAAGTATGATGTACAGGGGCAAGCCACTACAGTACTAATTTGAGGTGGAGAGCATATATTTTAAATGAAATAAATTAAAAATTATAGCCTGGCATTGTGACAATATTACAATAAATAATTGCTCATTGATACTACATATTTTCTTCTGTTTTTCTAATGTTGTTTTAATCACTCATTTTTAATTTTAAAGATAAACTTATGTGTATTTCATTCTTGGACATCATTAAAAGCATAGCTATTGCTCAACAGCTTTAATGCGTAGACTAAAATGTCACTAAAACTTTAAAATGATAATTTTGCTCATATCCTACAAGTTTATTTTTGGGTAATTTTCAAATAAAAATAAAAATAATAAATTCACATTTTAAAAATTAACTCCAGCAAAAAGTTTAATGAAACAAAAACATTTTCAATCTAATTTGATAGGTCTAATT